TCCTCTTCTTAAGTAAAAGTAGCAATGTAGCAGTGTAAAATACTCTTTTACAAGTAAAAGTCCTACATTCAAAATGTTTAAAAGTACTAGCATCAAAACATACTTAAAGTAATAAGGTAAAGGTACACATTATGCAGGGCCCCAAATATTATTATTATTTTCTCAGTGCGACCTGTCCGCTGGAGTCTGTTCCTCTCCTGTTTGGGTGCTGAGCCAAACCAGACAGTGATGGGAAAGCAGAGACCAGACTCAGTGATTCCTCTGTAGAATTGTATCAGCAGCTCCTGGGGCAGGTTGGACTTCCTGAGCTGATACAGGAAGTACGTCCTCTGTTGTGCCTTCTTGGTGATGGTGCTGATGTTGGATGTCCACTTCAGGTCCTGAGAGACAGTGGAGCCCATGACGTGTGTGGTTTTTAACACAAACCTGTCAGTCAACACGCTAGTGCAGAGACAGGTCAGATGAACAGCACTATAGCAGTACTATTTAATAAAACGTTAGGAAAGCATGACACCCCCTACCCCCTGAGCTACCACCACAAGTAGAATGTAATTCTGTGGGAAACTGCAGCTTCAGGTAGAAGTTAGAAGCTCATGCACAGTTCTAAGGTCTGAAGAGACTCGTGGAATCATACAGGAGAGAAGCCAGTCAGCTGAGTTTGTGACTAAACCTTTTACAGTGCTTGCATATTCTTTATCTTACTGCATATGATAATTCATACTCCAAAAGCAGAACTGAAGTGACGTTCATTACAAGATGATTAGTTAAAACTTTTCAAAATGCACCTGCACTGTTGCATTTTGTGACTTGCAGTTGAAGATTTCTTAGAGACTGTTAAAATCTCTTCTCATGAACCCAGGATCATGCATCATCTGAAGTAAAGTGCATCGTCACACCCCTAGCCTCGGGTGAGAGCAATGACCATTGTCGACTGTGAACACAGTATGTTGTGTTGCATCTCACACCACTGAAATAGTCCTGTCAAGCACCTGCTCTTCAGATTGTCACTGAAATGACAACGTGTCCTGTATGACCAAATAATTGTGATCTTTTGTCAAAAGAAAAATAAAACTAACTCCATGCTTTAAATGGTGCCAGCATGTGGCTTTTAATTTAGAACTGCTCTACTGTTGCGCAACCCAAAACAATCCTCTTTTCAGAAAAACTAAGTATTTGCCAAGTACCTATAATGACATGTTTTTCCATGCTGTGGTGTGTAGCTCGGAGGGAAACTGGCATTTCCAGCGTCACTTACTCAAACAGGAGCCTCATTTGTTTTTTGACTAGGTGTGTTGCGTCAATTCTGATAATTTATGTAGTCGACAGAACATATCAGTCTTTACTGGAAATGAAACTCTTACCTTCCAGGCTAAACTGTTAAGTTGCACAACATTTGTAGGTCTTGTAAGATTTCTTAAACACTTTTAGAGTGTGACTGACGAAAGTTAATTTTTGTGAACTGTAACTGCATTATTAGGTTTTCTTTTTTGTTACCATGCTCTTCATCATGGTCCAATTTGCACTGCTATGATAAGCGATGCTTTCTCATTGTTGTGCAAAGCCAGCTTTTGTGCTGCTTCAGCCATGCAGGTAATGTTCACTAACTCATCCTGTGTTGTCTGCAGTGTTCTCTGGGCTGTCCATTTATCAGGGCGCACTGTCTTGTGCACCAAATACAGTTCTTGACTTGGAGTCCTCTTGAGAGCTGGTGTTGGTTAAGATGAACACCAAACTGTGGAGGACGTTTAGGGCCAACTTTAAAATCTGATGGCTTAAACTAATTTAATAGTAAAGTAAATTAACTCATGTACAAATTGTCCCAATATTCACTGTTATCCTCCTTGGTCCCCCAATGTTCACTGACATGACTTTGACTACATTGATGCCGAGTTCAGATTTCTTATGTCAGATCCAATCTTTTTCTGTTCAGGGTTCGCTTTCATGTTTGTAGTCATACATTGTTTTCATTGAATTTTTAACTGTATCATGATTGAATTGAATCGTAAACACCATATCGTGCATTGAATCATAGTGAGGAAGAAAAGACCTATCATCCCATCCCTATACATGTCCTTACTCTGTACATTATGGAGTGATACTTTACGGCAATTAATCGTTGACACTCCTAGTTTAGTATCAAACAACACACAATCAGGTAAACTAATTCTAAGCAAGTGTTATTCTTACTGTCGTATTGTTTCCAAACAATCAGATGTGCGTTTGTCTGTCCCATCGGACTTGCTCCAGTCTCTGTGCCGGTGGATGACGCCTGTGCAGGCCATGTATCCTAATTCCTGAGCTGGATTGTGCCATGTGTCTGTTTCCTCCGTGTGTGTGAAGCGGTGGAGGGCAGAGCGTCTGTTGATGTTCTGAAAATAAAAGGGATTCCAGTCACATTCCGCTTCCTGTAGAACTGCATGGCTTGCAGCAAATAATAATCTGCCAAAACAGCTGATGACAGATGAAGGCGACAGGGTTAGCTTTATGAATCTGGGCGGAGTCAAGGTAGGGAGTTAAAAAGTAGAGTACTATGGGAGACTGAATCCATGTGGCTGTGATGGTCCCCACACTGGCTTGAGAAAATAATTAGCTTCTTATTTGTTTGAGTTTATTAGAAAGTTCAGTTGTTGTCCTTTGTTGAAAAAACAGAGAAAAAAATCAACTGGACTTGGTTTTATGTGATGAAGCTTCTTGGATCAGAGGTGTAACATCTTCGACCTAAAACCGTTTTTTCAGCTTACTATGACCTGGATGACTGAGAATCTGCACGGCCATGTTGTTGTCCTTTAGCTGAACATTATCCTAGCATTATGTTATGGTTAATTGTAACCCTCGATAAGGAAAGGGGCATTGTAAGTGCAAAAATACATTTGGAGCAGAAGCTACCAATCTAACTGCCACAGCTAGATTGCAGCAGTGTTGCTGAGTCATTCTGGGGACACAGGCAGGGTATTCACAATGAAACCTGTAGGTTGTCCAGGTGAAGTGATGCTCAAGGCCCCCCTCCCGTGGTTCAGCTTTGTACATGCCACAGAGCCAGCACTTGTGGTTAATTTATAGCATCTATTTATATGCCCATTGTGAATTCTCATTTGTTTTGCTTCCCTTTCTTCATCTGATTGTGTGAATTCTCTTTTTTACAGAGTCTTTGATCACTATGAAATACATAGTGACCGGGTTCTTGTTTAGGATCCTACTGATGTGCACCAATCAAAACTATTCATTTGCACAGTTATTCAGTGTTTGTCTCTCTTGGCATGTGGACTTTACTGTCCACTGGTGGACATTGGCCCTGGGGGCATGTGCACGTTACTCTTGATCAGTGTGCATGGCCTGCACAGCAGGATAGAACTAGCCTAGATCCTCACATTTCCTTTCCATGGCATTAAAATGACATAGTGTAAGAGGATCCATAAATCCAAGGTCATCCATATCCAGGATTGTCTTGACTGTTAAGCTTCAGGTCATTGTTGTGCTGAAAGGTGAACTGTCGCCTAAGGCTCAGGTTGCATGCACAGGGATTCTTTAAAGACCTTTCTGTATTTATGTGCATTCATCCTTCCCTGTCCCTACCACTTAGAAGCACCCCCACAGCATGATACTGCCACCAGACCTGAACAATATGCATGCCAAGACCTAGCCTACCACTTTCCAGGTCTTACTGTGGTTATTTAGACTTGGTTCAGCTTCAGCTTGTTATATCAAATGAAATAGTTTTGTAGAAAAATGCAATTTTTTTAAGTATCCAAATATAGTAGATAGTGTTTATGCAGCTGTACCAATTAATAAATACATTAAAATGTGAAAAATGTTTATACCAGTGATACACATCGCTTGCATACCGATGCGTATCACTGGACAAATGGCCGCCTGTGTGGACAAGATAAGGACTGTTTCTATTACATTTTGCTTGGGTGTTTGTTGTACCCAGAGGCTGAACCAAACCTTAAACCCAAATGTCCACTTGAGCCTAATATATTTCATAATTTCCAAGGTTGATTGCAGGAAGGCTATAAGTGCAAATGGCAAAAGGGTCAGTATGTTTTTCCCAACCTTCACTTATGTTGCGGCTCGCAATAAGCATTGCTTTTCTTTAACCGTTGTAATGAATGTCCAAGTCGTTCTAAAGTCATGCTGTTAAGCTTGCTTTTATCTGATCCCTTTTATGTACAATTCTCTTTTATGTCAGTGGAGGGAGGAAATGACGTGAAAACTTGCAAATGTCCTCTTTTCATCCTAAGGTCATTACCAGTGTTTTAAATGCAGGATGGAGTATGCTGTATGCCCACAGTCCTGGCAGGGAGGCCACCAACGTCACAACATTGTTTGGTTTCCTGTGTTTTAACTGTTGTAGTAACAGCAATAACAAAAGGACATTCTCTGTTAGTGTATCTGTCTCTTTTAAAGACCTATAGAGCTGTTGGAAAAAGGACTTTTTCCACACTGACATTTTTAACCATTTAATTGCCTTTCAAGTTGTCATAGTGTGGTGTCAATTAAAAGTAGCCCAGATATTTACCCTTTCCTAAATTGCTAGACTTGTCTTTATTCTGTAACAGAATCAGCTTGGAACCTTGAAGATACTCAAATAAGTAGTATTGATTTAATAATTTTCTCTCAGCACAGTGAAAACAATACTTTAAACCAGCTGTAATCTCACTTTTAGTCAAAATGAATGAGTATAAAAGTCCCAACTCTTCTGGAAACAAAATCTTCTACAATGAACAGTTAGTTTTTATTTTTAATTTACTCATGCTTGATTTTATGTTTCTTCTTTTAAGGAGAGATGCTGAAAAGAGCAGTGATTTATTTGACCCTTGTCTGTTACATTCAGTCATGGGAGTTGTTTTCTTATTCCACTTAAGCAGCACACAGGATTCATCCCCTCTGACCAAGCAATGTTACTAAAATCCCAGTTTCCAAAAGCTTGTTCAGTGTTGAAAATGTCTGTTTTTCCACAGTCTATGCCCTATATGTAAACTTTTTTTTGCCCTTTTTAGGAGCCATTTGAGGATGGGTTTGCCAATGGTGATGAGCTGACCCCGGCTGAAGAAGCTACTGCCAAAGAAATGGCCGATTCCAAAGGCGTCGTCAAGTTTGGCTGGATTAAGGGGGTGCTGGTAAGTTACTTGTTGATTGTTTGTTTATTTATTTTTTTACCATGCTTTCTTTTGTAGGCATATTGTGTAAGCACTCATGCTGTGAGCTAAACTCACTAACACATGCTATTTATTGTAAACTTTGTTTCTTAAATTGTTGCTTGTGTTTATATGTGTGTGTGTGTGTGTGTGTATATATAACTTGGCAGTGAAACTTTGTGAAGTGGATCACATGTGTGTGCCACTACGTAGTAAAATTTGAACCGTATATGTGAGTACATGGCACTCTATTAAGAATTTTGAACCACAAGTGTGAATTGCTAGTGGTTCAGATAGTGGTCACTAGATAGTTAAACTACTGAGGAAGAGAGCGCCCATGACTACTGAGAGATGTGTTTCATGCTGAGCTGTCCTTGACGCATGTTTAATTTCTTTTTTAAAAGTACAGTCAACAGAGGATGAAGACGTCTGGATATTATCATCCTGCTTTTATTTTGACATGGCCAATCCTCACTTCCTCTCTAATATAAACCTTGAACTAATTCTCATGTCACTTGGTTTTTAATAGCTTTTATGAACTGGTGGAGGATATTTTCTTAATACAGTTTTTTTTAAGTGCATAACTAGCTGGTCTCTGTAGGAATTTACATTTATTTATATAAACAGCTATCATTACCATTTGATGTATTGGACCAGAGTTATCTTAAAGCTAATTTACATCTGCAGTCCCTTGGCAGGTAACACTTGTAAAGATGAGGACAAAACAACACTAGACAAACACAAAACAATGTGCATGTTAAAACAAACCAGATGTCAGTTCAGTTGCATTCGAAACAATTTAACAAAAAGCAAAACAGCTGATTTTTACCAGATTTTTCATTTGAAACTACTGATGGAACCCAAAGTCTTAATACCGTGTCCACTTTTAGAGAAGATACTGACTGCCCAGAAGCGGCATGATGAAAGGGTACAGTACAATCTATTAGAGAAGAGATTCTTAATAATTTTATATAGAGCTCTGAGTGAAATCAAACAATAGCCCCTTACACAACTGGTGCAACTTTATTCCGTCTTGTTTTCTTTGTGTAATGTGCAAAGCCGGAATTAATTGCAGTTATTACTCATGACATTCGCACACATAGCAAGAACCATGCTAACGAGTTTTGTGTGAAGTGAAAAAAAATGCTTGAAGAACCAACAAAGCTACATCTGCACTTATCTCTCCCGCCATTGTTGTTTTGGTTTGTAGACTACTGGTGCAAAATTTACACCACATTGACGTACAATGACATTGCGTTTTGCCTCTTGTGCAGAATGTCAGCCTGCTGTCTGAATTCACAGGCTGGCTCACGATTATACCACTCTTAGCTTGATCTGTATGAACAGCACAAGGGCGGGATTATTGGCGATCCATTGGAACAGCACTAGTGTGGGATCTCAGTGTAAAAACAACTGTCACACCAGACAGGACTCACAGTGCAAAACTCCACCAAGGCAGCTCAGTTTCCCCATAATGCCATTAAAAAAAGTTCATGGATTAGGACGACAGTCTTGATCACTACCAAAATGTAATAAACTGTTCTGTGGGCCATACCAACCTCTCAAAAATGTCATCATTTCAGTCTCATAACCTTTTGGGTTACACTTAATTTAGACTTGTCTGTGCATGGGCGTGAACACGTACATACACAGTGAAGGGGTTTATGGGTAAATGTAGGTCGCTGAATGTTGCAGACTGTCTGATGTGGACAACTCCTAAATCTCAGCTGTGCGTTGTGCAAAGCTGCGTATCCTGCACACTACTTGATTGATCTGACCTTCTGTTGGGAGGTGGGAGTAAGTGTAAGACAGACGGTGCATTCAAAAGACAAAATGCAGCTAGACAAGAGATTTGCCGATGAAGTGAGGAAATATAAATATTTATACAATGTAATGTATAAATAGTTCAAAAACCAGGAGGTCACAGCCAATTCATGGAGGGAAACTGGACTAACTTTGGAAGAAGAGCCAGGTGGATGCAAAGAAGATTGGAAGCAAATGTGAGACAAGTTTGTCAGGCAAAAAAACAAAACAAAGAGCGGGGACCCTGAACCCAGAGGACAAAATTCTGGACTACTATATAATGCTGTCCTGGCTGGAAGGATTTATAAAACATCAGAAAACCCAGACCAGTTTCAACGGTGCAGCAGCTGAGGTAAGGAAACTCTAATCTAGACCATGTTTATATTTGCTGAGAACTGGGCACATGGTCTCTTTTGACCTGCGAACACCGTCCTTCAGTGTTTGGAGCTTTGGAATCAACAATAATCACCTCTACTCAGACCCAGATGTACATAGGCAAACGGCACCATATTAATTATTAACATATTGTGAACAGTGCTTTATAAATTAACTTACATTAGATTTTCATGCTATTACATTGGTATGTTTCAAGGGTTTATGTATGTAACCATGTATCTGTCTGTTTTGATAATCATTTGCACACGTACAGCCTGAGGACGTCACTCCAGGTCCTGTAGAGCAAAACTACCTGGACTCCACACTGAATACGGAGAATATCAGGCCATCCACACCACACCTGTTGTCCAGAGACTCAAGTGTCGTTCCACCGCACAGCAATGCCGATGATGATGAGGGTTAACCTAGTGTGTCCATTGTGTCATTCATAAAGGCACCAGTCCCTCAGGCAGGAAAGAGGAAAGAGATGAGAGGGGACAAGATACTGGATATGATTGTCACTCTATGCCGGGAGCAGCTTCAAAGCAGTTTGCCGTCTTTTGCTTGTGCTGGTGGTTTAGGGCGGGAGCATCTCCAGTCCAGTCCTGATTATTTGCTGATTTAACCACCCCATCTCACTGTTTTTGTGAGAGCCTGCCCACCCCCCAAATTGTTTAAAAAATTTTTTTTTTAATATATCAGAATTGGATGCACCCACACTACGCACCCACACTACACACCTTCACACACCCCTTTGTCTTTTTTGTAAATGTTTGTTGTCTTCTATGTTATGTCCTGTAAACATGTTATTTAGTGTTAACAATAAAGAAAAAAATGTTTTCCTTTATTCCTGCTTTATGAGTATTGGTACACACACACACACACACACACACATTTATTTTATTTTATTTTTGTACGCATGGATATGTGTATGCGCATATGTATATATGTAGTATTATTGAAACTGCTTTACTTTTTTATTTCAATATTACAATCACTTTATTTAAAAAAATATTGACCAAAATAATCATGATTATGATTTTTGCCACCGTCGTGCAGCCCTACTGTGCCGTGTTCATCACTAGAAAATTTAAACCATAATGTTGAACCTGTCACTTCTCAGTCACCCACAGTAACAGTCCCTCCTCCCTGTAGGTTCGCTGCATGTTGAACATTTGGGGTGTGATGCTCTTCATCCGCATGTCATGGATCGTGGGTCAGGCTGGGATTGGTAAGTAGAGTATTTTAAAACTAATGAACCTGTTTAGAATAATTTTCAGCTCTTGGTACAATTGTAGTATCCTGCCTTCAGAAGGAAATTGTGAGTTTGTGTTTCAGACATGGAAAGTTGCATCAGTCAGGTTGAAGGGGTTGCTTCACAAGAAAAAGTAGATGGTGTAACACTCGTTTCTTTTCAAACCTGCTGAATAATTTGGTTTCTTGGATTGGCTCTATTTGGATATGTCACAATAACATGCACCCAGACAGGTTTGCCTGACAAACTTGTCTCACAGGTTGCAGTGTAGAGAGTATAGTAGACGTCTTGGTGTCAGTGTAGCTGACAATAATAAAGACAATTTTGCAATACAGTAAAACCATGCTATTTTTTTTTTAAGGTGGTTATCATACTGTGAAAAGCTCACAGTGTTGCAATCCTAGTACCCTTGTTAAATTAAACCTTTAAATTGCAGATTATGATACTATGTGATCCCAAACCGCCCGTTCTGGGAGGGGTATGTGGAAAAAGTGGTACTGGTGCATCACTACATGAAACAGTTACCTCAAAAGTCAGAAAAAGCTTGGTAAAATATAAACATGTAAGCATCTGGTAAATTATCTGTAATGTGAACATGAATTGAATGATTCAAATGTAAAAATACTACTACTGAGCTTTTACTGATAAAACAGTCCTGATAAAACCAGTTGATGAGGTGTTTTGTGGGTTATCAGTAGAAGGGACAGTGCTTCTGGTGAAAATTTTAATGTTTTAATACCACAAACTAAATTTCATTCAGATCAATCCAAAAAAAAACACACTTTTCAAAACTCGGTTTACAATGTTTCACACTTGGCAGCAAATTAAAATAAACAAATGGTCAAATATAAAATCAAATTAAATGGGAAGTTGTATGTAACAACAATAACTGCATCTAAACTGTTTCCAGTAAAAAAAAAAGAAAAAAATAAGAACAGTAAAAATAAAAAAAAGTAAAAAAAAAACAAACAAAAAAAAACAAACACAAGCTTTAAAAAAATTATACTTACTCATCTGGCCATTGGATTTAAGATGGACACATTTCTGAATCTTGACATACTGTACTTTCTGGACTATAAGCCGCTACTTTTGTCGCTTCATGCACACACCCTCATGGACAAGAAATGACGAAATACATATGATGCTGCTTCAAGTTACAGGCGATCGATCTGGCTGTCGAAATATCTCATGTTACAACGTGGACACCTGCGGCTATGTACAACATGTTTTTTTCCTCTTACATTTAGTGGGTGCGGCTTATAGTCCGGAAATTACGGTATATGGTGCCATGCTGCTGTTAAAAATGCTTTTCTGTTATTGGGGGCAACTGATGCTTTAATATTTTTGTTTTCATTTGTTTACTTATTTTGATAATTACCTCTAAATGATCTTCAGTGACTCAGACTACAGAGAAACAAAGGAGTCAGTCAGAAACCTGTTTGACATGGCCGGTGTTTTATTTTGATGTGACAAAGACAGCACATAACTGACAAATATCACTCTTCAGAGACATTATCAAGCATTGTGGCACAAATTGTGTATTTACTGATATTTTGGTAGTCACTGGTTGGTCGTTTCAGACCCTGTGTTCAGCACTCTGTGCCAGTACTTAATCTCTCTCACACACACACAACACAGCTCTGTAATGGCATGACCCTCCAGCACTTGATAATAACTTTGCACGTTGATGTGACATATCACCAGAAAGTGACACATATGGTAGACTTCACTGTAGTAGCTCATCTTCATTGATATGGTGTTACTTTTCACATGGTTCTCAAAGTGACTGGAACACTTGTTAGAAAACTGTTAATAGTGTTGTACTGCCTTTTCATTTAAGGGGATTCGTAAAATTCATAATGTGTTTTCTTCTTCAGCTCTCTCTTGTGTCATCATTATCATGGCTACAATAGTGACGACCATCACCGGCGTCTCCACCTCTGCCATCGCCACCAATGGATTTGTACGAGGAGGTATACGTTATTTTCTTCTCAAGAATGATACTGTAGGTTGTCTAAAATCATAAGGGAATGTGTCACAAAAGCAGAAATCACCAGGGACTGACATTATTAATCTTGTAAGAGCAGCACAGTTCTCACATAACATCTGATTTCTTCCTGCTGTTTGGTATGAAACAAGGTAATCTGTATGTATAATCAGACCAGACTGGCTGGTCTGATATGGATATTAATACATTAACACACTTGCTCCTAAAATGGAGGAACTGATTTATGTATAGACATAGCCTATTAAAAAAAAAAAAAACTACCTGGAGTGCTGATCTCAGTAGTAGGTCCATGGCAGTAGTTCATAATTAGGGTTGGCTATCATTCCAAAATAAGCGAGCAAGTCGCCTAACATCACTTCAGTGTCATCCTGATTTATGTATAGACATAGCCTATTAAAAAAAAATACTAAATCCATAATTTGAGTTTTTCAAATGTATTTGAAATGAAAGTTCACAACATCAGCAGTAAACACAACACACACACACACACAACAGTAAACTTTGTCCATTTTCTTTTATTTTCAGGTGGAGCATATTACTTAATTTCAAGGAGTCTGGGCCCAGAGTTCGGAGGCTCGATTGGTTTGATCTTTGCCTTTGCCAATGCAGTGGCTGTAGCCATGTATGTGGTGGGCTTTGCTGAAACTGTTGCGGAACTTCTTTTTGTAAGTTTCTCGGTTTTTTGTGGCACTTTTACTCAGTGATTACTGCTGCATCTCTTGTAATGTTGATGCAGTTCAACCACTTAAGGTCTCCTGGTTACATCTGAGTATCTTTCCAAACTCCTGCAAACAGCTTACTGCTGTGGACCAGTAGAGAGAATTATTAGAATATGACATCGATTTAGCAAGTTCAGCTAACTTAACTAATATAAGCATTGTTTATTGGCCCTCCTTCTGTACATCTAGCCATTCCTTAGCTATTCCTGTTTTTCATAGGGAGGATGGATCCAACCCCAGCTGACAATTGGTAAGAGGCAGTGTGCACCCTTGTCAGGTCACCTGTCAGTCACAGGGCTAACAAAGAGAGACAGGCAACTATTCACAGACACCTAAGGGAAATTTAAAGTCACCATTTAAGGTGGAAGGTATTTTTGCACAGAGCAATGCCCCTCCAGTTTATGCCCGAAGGGCATTATTATGAAGGTGTCTCAACTATAG